ATAGATAGATAGATAGATAGATAGATAGATAGATAGATAGATAGATAGATAGATAGATAGATAGATAGATAGAATTTTCTATTCAGTTCTATGCTGAATTAAATCAACAGACATGTGGTTGACAGAGTACATTTGTATTGTATTAAATGTGAAAGACCTAAAACTGTAAAAAAATATATATATATACATTTTTTGGTGAAAATTTGAGAAAAAAAAATTCACCAAAATTTGCTAATATTTTTATTTTATTTGCAATTTTTTCAAGTGAACAGTACAAAGCAGGTTGTAAAAGAACATGGTCAGAAGATCTGAGGTTAAAATGTTTCAGGTCATTAGAAATTAAATTGAAGTTTAAGTAAATGACATTGAAAGAGCCTACAAATGTATTTCAATGTCCAAAATAAAATAAAAAAAAATAAATACATATTTTTACTGTTACTGAAAATTAAAATAAAAATATAGTCATCAGAAGAATATAATTTGTTGAAAATTTCCCTGATGTTTCTGTCAAAGCTGTCTAGGTGAGATGAGCACATTTGCTTTCAGACATGCAGCCATGTCTGGAATAGTCGATGCACGAGTAAGGAGGGCTTCATTCTGATCAAGATTTAAAAGCCATCAAGTCAAAAGTTGTCTGAAAATTACTTATTTGTGATTGTGAAAGCTACTAATTTTTGTTTGATTTCTGAGTTAGAGAAAGAACATAAATCAAAGAAAGCAATTAGAAATTATCTTTAAATTTTGTTTCAACCTCTAAGTTAAACATGAATCTCCTCCTGGAATGTCTTGATAGCAGAGTATGTGCTGAAATCTGAACTCGGGTTCGTCCTCTTCCTCTTAATTCTCTGTGATGGCTGATGAATTTCCAAGGCAGCATAACACACATTCTCATCCTAGAATTTAATATTCAGAATCATCACTGTTTAATAAAGTTTAATTACCATTTAAGAGAATTGTTTTTTCTAAAGCAAAAATAAATTAATGGTCTTTTTTTTTACCTGTGTCTCCTCTGTTTGCCTTAAAGTGTTTCCTCTCTTTTTCTCAGCTTGGGTGTTTGCTGCAGATGTTAGAAAATCTCCAATGTAATAAAATTGAAAGAAACAAGCAATCATGGTTTTATAGCTTTAAATGAGAAAAGCCATGAAAATTGCATTTACCTGACTTTTGGCATAGCCGATAAACCAGAAATGCAGAGACGAGAGCTGAGAGAGCAGAAAAGGCCGGACACAGAGAGAAGAGCAACTTCCAGCACAAACCACATCCCTCCACTGTCGTGGAAATATTTGGATGTGGTAAATGAGTCTCTGTATCTAAAAATGGATAAACATATAATTATCACAAAGTTTGAAATAGTACCTGTTTTCATGTTTTATCAAAATGTAATGTATTATCAACTATGTGCATTTTATGACTGCATTTTTGTGTTTCTGTGATGTAAAGCACTTTGAATTGCCTTGTCCCAATGTGCTGTACAAATAGATGTGATTGATTGATTAACTATTTTTGCAATTTTTAGAATGTTTGAACTGTGAAGAGATGACATTTTTTAAACTCTTATATTGAGACTGAATGTTTACAGCTGTATTAGCTGGTCCAGTAAAGTCTGATGATATATAGTCTTTAATTGATCATAGTAAACAGGAATGATGAGTCATTTGCTAAACAATGAAAGGCATTTGAGGAAACTTTCTTAATCTCAGATGGACTTACTTTTGTAAATGCACAAAGCATATCTTTCTCTCTAACAAAGCACTTGAATTTTTTTTCAACAATGTTCTTTTTGTTTTTTCAAAATGTTACCTTTACAGCAAAAATATGTTTAGGTGAAACATGAAATTGATACTATTTTAATGCAGTTAAACTTCAATGGGAAATACATTTATTCAAACTTGCATAAAATAATCATTCTTCCAGAAGCACTATAGAAAAAGTACTTACACAGTGTGATCCTTGTGGTGAGGTTGCCATAGACGTAAGCTTCTTTAGAGAAAATATTTTTGTTTTCGTCTTTCTCCACCTTTGTTTCAAAAGTTCCACAGTAATAAAGTCCCTCATCAGAATTCGTGATATTGATGATCATCAGGTCATAGGAGTTGGACGACTCATTCTTCACAAATTTAAAGCGAGGGAATCTGATTTCTCTTTCATAAAGATAGCTCTTCTTCCAATCTACAACAAGAGTCGGCTGGTATTCATGGGAACAGTTCCTGAACCAAGCTACATATATTCCAGTTGACACTTTGCAGTCGCAGTAGATGGTGATGTTGTCTCCACGCCGTACAATCGTCTCCAACATTGAAGCAGAAATGGAGCAAAGACTCCAGGAAATAAGACCTGAAAAAGAAAGACATTCAAAATAACCTGACTATTACTTCAGATTTAAAGCCAAAACACTGAAGATATTTAAACTGGAAACATAGTTTATGTTTTTCAAATAAACATGTTTATTGTTATTTATATATTGATAAATCTTAAAATTACCAGAGAGAACAATGAGAATCTTCAGCAGTTCATCCATGACTGACGCTGACCTGGATCTAAGTGACAGTTTCATAGGTTTTATCTGCAGACGTTATGACGCAGATTTTTCCATGAAAGGAGATGCAGCAGCTGATTGGCTGCTTGAATGGAACATTTTATTCTGAGGTTTTCTTGCTGAGTTAGGGGCCTGATGTGAATTTGGGGGGTTTCAGGTGCCGCAACTTTGTGAAAATTTACATTGAGGCTTTTGATTGAACTGCTGAAGACATTTTGAATTAGACCATGTACTTTACTTGATGAGTTTTATTACAAAAATCAATCATCTTTATTGAGTGTGTTAAAAGGCAGCACAAGGTAAAATACA